AAGAGATGTGCGGAGAAGGCAGAGAGGGAAGATAAAAAAAAATAAAGTGTGTCAGATGAGTAGCACAGTCAAATTTCTGATGACGATGCGGATTTATGGGTTAGTTGACTGAGGCGGAAGTTCTTGGAAGGTGTATTAGCAGGTAGAATCTTCAGGGCAGCACCCTGCGGGTCCTTCAGGGGGCAGACCTATAGATGTGAGTATCGCACCAATAACCTTTAGAGAAGTCATTTGGTTTTTAATTTTCAAAAATGGAAAAGCGGAGAAGGCTTGCAAGGCAGTCCCCAAAAAAACGCAAAGCCTTCATGCCGATACTAGGAGACCTGGGTTAACCACGTGCAAGAAAATTCCCCCTGAATTATTAATTTACCTTCTCGGGCTTCGTTGTCGTAAATGAGGACTTTCGATCCCTCTAGGACAATGTACTTCCTGTCCCAGCCTTGCTGCCCTCGTTTGTTGTTTCTGGGGAAAGGAAAACTGTGTGAACTCGGAACAGCCAGGCTGGAGGAAGGGGTGAGGACAAGGGGTAGAGCACAAAGGGGATTTTTAGTAAAAACACCTCCCTAGAAAACAGGAATGGAGATGGCCGGGGCATTCCGTGCCTGCACCTGCCCTGGCTCGAGGCACCTGCAGCGATACCTGGGCACTTTCATCCACCCTTCCAGGTGCAAACTGCTGCTGGGCTCCTTGGCCTGGAGACCCGGAGAGTTCATTTTGTCACGGCAGAAGGCCTCGGTGAAGTGCGTGGCGTATTCGGCAGGCAGGCCGCAGGTGGCTGGCAAGCACGTGGAGCACTTGGGGTGACACATCACCTGACATTCTAGAGAAGAACCGTAAACAATGTGAAAATGTGCTTGGCCAATCCTGGAACACCTTCCTCCACCTGCCAGCTTAACCCCAGGGATTTTTCCACCTCCAGCCAGGCCCTGTATGTCTGGGCCTGGCATCTGGGTAATCCCTAAGCGTTCCCAGGTGCCAGGTTCCAAAGAGAGATGACACAGAGCCAAATACTCTTGACCCAGTTTTCCTGACTCCGATCCAGGCTGCCGACAAACAGGTGTATAAAGGGCACGTTTGCCCATTTCAGTTGGAATCAGTGGAAAGACAGGGAGAGACCCGACTTTCCAGCAAAAGGGGCTGGAAATTAGCAAAGCTGTGAGCTGAAGACATGGATAAACTCACTTCTGTGATAGGGTTCGCCCATGGAAGTGAAAAGCCTGAAAATCAGTGTGCTATATGAGAGGGAGTTTAAAGTTAAAAAAAAAAAAAAAAAAAACCCCCATTTGATAAACTTTTCTTTTTTTTTTGTAGAACTTTTGCCATCGCACATGTGCACTCACCTGAGAGAGATGGAGAAAGATAGAGAGAGGGAAAGTGAGAAATCACCCCCCTAGGGGGATGGCCACACTGCAATCCCTTCTCCTCCATTCTCCTCCTGGGATCTTGGGCGCACATGCCCGGCATGATTCAAGCTACTGTGTCCCAGACTCAAACCACGGTCAGTCATGTAGGAGTCCAGCAACGTAAGTGCTATGCCATCTGCTGGCCCATGAATTAGTGGGTTTTTTTTTTTTTTTTGGAGAGATTTTTCTTTAGGGCACATGTACTCGCCAGAGACAGAAAGCAAGAAATCACTATCACCACCCTCGGAGAGGGTTGAGGAATGACCACACCACAATCCCTCCTCCTTTACCCTCCTCTCAGCATCTTGGGCATGCACACATGAGCCTGGCATGAGTTTGAAGCTACCAGGTCTGAGACTTGAACTTCGGTCAGCTACATGGGAGTCCAGCGATGTAACCATTACGCCATCCACTGGTCCCCTCAATGTTTTGCTTTTTTTTTTTTTTTAATTGCGAGAGGGTGCTTACAATCAAAAGAGAGAGTGTTCCTCCCAATGGGGCGTGGTCAACCTACAATCCTCTTCCATTATCTCCATCCCATCAGGACTTGGGATACACATGCACCTAACACATTTTCCCAGTTGCTGGGGCCAAGATTTGAACCACAGTCACCCATATGATATCTGGTTTCCTATGCACAGCACTTATCTGCTGTGCTATGAGGCCAGCCCTGAGGAATTTTCTAGATGGAGACGTAAAAGTGCCCATCACAGATGTACAACCACTGGTCTTACCGAGACATTTGGATGCCTGGCGTCCAAAGTGCACAGTATCCAGACACACGGCGCACTTCGTGGCTCGCATATTCAGTCCTACGTTAAATCTGTGAGGGATATTGTGGTGCATGCGCTCCTTAAGACGTCGACTAAATTCTGGAGGAAAATTTCAAAAACAAATCATTAGGATGCTACAGGAAATACCATTAAGGAAGTGAAAAGCAAAGACATGTACAAATCATACGTCTGTTAAGGTACTTGTATCTAGATTAAATAAAGAAGTTTTATGACTCGATAATAGAAAGACAACCCAACTGAAAACAGGCCAAGGATAAATAAAGACCCAACAAGCACATGAAAAGATGCTCGATATCATTTGTCACTAGGTTTTTAGTACAATGAGAGGGACCAGCAGTTGGCGTAATGGCTATGTTGCTGGATTCCCATGTAACTGACCGCAGTTTGAGTCCCAGACCTGGTGGCTTAAACTCACGCCAGGTGCGTGTGCGTGAGTGCCCAAGATCCCGAGAGGAGAATGGAGGAGAAGGGACTGTGGTGTGGCCATCCCCCCTAGGGGGTGACTTCTCACTTTCCGTCTCTCTCTGTCTCTCTCTCTTTCTGGCACCCTTAGCAAAAACCTCTCCAAAAAAAAAGTACAATGAGATATCATATCACAACCACTAGAATTTCCAGAAGACAAAAAATAGAAATGTTGGTGAGGATGTGGTGAAATTGGAACCTTCAGGATGAAATGGTACAGCCACTGTGGAACCCAGCCTGGCAGTTCCTCAAAAGATTCAGCACAGAATTATATGACACAGCAATTTCACTTCTAGGCCTACCCAAGATTGAAAATATAGGTACCCACACAAATGTGCACACCAGTGTTTATAATTTAGCAGCATAATTTATAATTGCCAAAAGTAGAAACAACTCAAATGTCCAACCATATATTAGCAGTAAACAAAAGGTGGTACTTATACAACAGAGTATTACTCATGAATATAAATTCTGGGAACCAGCAGACAGTGTAATGGTTATGTCACTGGACTTGCATGTACTTGACTGCGATCTGAGTCCCAGACCTGGCAGTTTAAAACTCACATTGGGTATGTGTACATGCATATCCAAAATCCTAAGAGAAGAATGGAGGAGAAGGGACTGTGGTGTAGCCATCCTCCCTGGGGGTGATTTCTCGCTTTCTGTCTCTCTGTCTCTCTGGCAAGTGCATGCACCCTATAGCAAAAATTTCTCAAAAAAAAAAAAAAAGCTATTATTGGTGGGATATTAACTATGTGACAGCATATGTGTGTGTGGGCTAAAGAAACATAAGCTTTTAAGTCAATTGTACTTAAGTATTTCAGTCATGAAAATAGATGAACTGACCAAAGAATTATTTTGCTTTTCACAAATAACCTCCTTTTGTTTAACAGCTAACTTTTTAGTCTCAGAGAAGTGATTCTTACATTTATATTTCAACCTATGAAAATGATTAACATTAATTTTTGGGTTTTTTTTGTATTTAATAGACTGTCTTTCAATTGTAAACTAATTAGAGGCAACTTTAAGTAGGGAGCAAAGCTTTGTTATTCACAATTGCTAAGACATGGAATCAACTCAAATGTCCATGAGCAGATGAATGGATTGAAAACATGTGGCACATACACACTATGGAATACTATTCAGCCATTAAAAAAAAAGAACCTGAAATTTGATACAAAATAGACAAATACGGAAGATTTAATGCTGAGCAAAGCAAGTCAGACTATGAAAGAGCAGCACTGTATGTCCCCACTTAATACATACTGAATATCTGCACTCTGTGGCAAAAACTGAAAGATTGGAAAGTATAAAAGCAGGGAGAGCAACTTGGGATACTGGAGACAGAAAGGGAGGGAGTTGGGCAGTGGGAGGAGGGAGGGATGATTAAGGGGGAGAAAAAAGCAAACATTTAGTGGACACAAAAATGGAAAGTTAACTGTTGATGATAATGTATATGATAATACCTTTGATTGGATTAATATAAAGTGCATTCATGCTGGGAAAAATCATTTTATATGCTGTAGAGATGTATCGTAATTAAATATAAAATAATTTTTAAAAGAATTATTTAATTTTATTTAACATTATTATTATTGTTAAATTTGCTAAAGGGCACACATGGTCACCAGAGAGAGACAGAGAGACAGAGAGAGAGAGAAAGAGAAAGTGAGAAAGCAAGCCACCAGGTCCAGTACTTGAACTGCTGTTAGCCATACGGAAGTCCAGTGCCTTAACCACCACACCACCTGCCAGCCCAATAATATTAATTTTTTTTAGAAAGCTTGGGATCAGGACCAGCAGTTAGCGTAATGGCTATGTTGCTAGACTCCCATGTAGTCGACCGCGGTTTGCGTCCTGGACCCGGTGGCTTAAAACTCATGCGGGGCACACCTGTGTGTATGCCCAAGATCCCGAGAG